TCTACACAAATTATTCTAACAAATAATAAGAGTAGAGAGTCAGAAAAAGTAGCGAACAAAACAAAAATATATATTGATACAAATGATATAGAAAATAACTTAATGTCAGATATATTAAGACGTTTATTAAAAACAAATACAGTGGGAATATTTTCAGAACTTTCAGACACCATTTATAATCAAGTTCAAATTAAATTAATTGAAATTTTCGGAACATCGATCAAGTTTTTTAAATGTAGCTATCATGCTAAAGATATTAATAATGAAAATGAAGCTTATAAGCAAATAGAAAAGTACCATAAATTCGAAACGGAGCACAGTGGTATCTTAGGGTGCTTCGAAGGATTAAGGAAAAAGATATACTTCAAAAATTTGAAAAAATTGGTGAATAAATTTATCAATAATTGTGACACTTGCAATAAATCAAAGTATGATCGCAACCCCATAAAAGAAAAATTTAAATTTACGGAAACACCAAAAAATCCAAACGAAATAATCCATATGGACATTTACACCATAAAGAAACATAGCTTTATAACACTCATAGATAAGTTTTCAAAACACGGAACAATATTATATTTAGAAGATAGAAATAGCTTGACCATTGTAGGAAAAATAAGACAGTTTCTCTCTATACGAAATAAACCAAAAAAAATTATAACTGACAATGAATTCAACTCGACAAACATTAAAGAATTCTTAAGAGAGGAACGCATTGAAGTTCATTTCACGAAATCTAACAACCATACCGGAAATGCTGATATCGAAAGATTTCATAGCACCATTTCCGAAAAATTTAGAACACTTGAAACAGAACGATCAGATCTGTCAACTCAAGAAAGGGTATTTAAGTGTTTAGAGTGGTATAATAAGTCTGTCCATTCTGTTACTAAACAAACACCAATAGACATTATAGAAGGCAATGTATCAAGAAGTAACATATATGAACTATTAATAAAAAATAAAAATAGTACTGTTCAGAAAAGGAATCTTAATAGAGAAACCTATATAGGAAATGAAGAAGAAGGTTACATAAAAAATTATAAAGCTCTAAGACATAAGTACGAACCGAAGTTTAGAAAACATAATCTACAAAACGTTCATTCAAGTAATATAAAACGTAAAAATAAATTTTCAGGTCAAATGGACCCTTATAATGCTGTTAATAATGGCGATGACTCAAATATCGCTGGGAGCTCTTCTAATACAACCGATCGATAGTCAAGAGGGTTACGTCGAAATTAAACTTGAAGAGGTGGAATTGGTGCATAATTTCACTACAATAATTCATGTAATAGAAATTGACACTATTCAGCAAGTAATCGATGCATTGGCTTACAATATAAAACAAATTAAGTCCCCTAACGAAGATAAATTAACTGACGAACTAGCTAAAATAACTTTAAAGCTACATACTATTTTTGCTAATAGGCATAGGAGAGGTTTATTCAACATCATAGGGACTGGTTTAAAATGGATCACTGGATCTATGAATGATGACGATAGAATAGAAATAGAAGAACATTTTAAGGTAACAGATGAAAATAATCATAACATAATAAATAGTATGAATAAAAATATAATTATCAACAACCATTTTAATAACACATTTAATAGACTTAAAGAGACAATTGAAAATGACAGAAAACAAATAATAGGGCAATTGAACGATTTGCAAATAAATGATAAAAATATGTTAGCTCAAATAGCCTATTTAGACATTTTATTAAAAATAAAATTTTTAGAAGACAATATTGAACACATACAAAATAACATAGCTTCTGCTAGATTGAATTTTATGAGTAGTAATATTTTAACTAATGAAGAAATAAATACCTTAAATATAGATTTTGACAAATTACAAAATATGCAGTTAGCAGTAGCATAATATAAAGAAAATAAAATATTATTCGTAATTAAGGTCCCTAAGGACATTATAACAGTAAGAAGATCATTGTTAACTCCAATTTGTAATGAAAACTCTATTGAATTAGATTTTAAGCCACAAGAAGTGATTTATTATCAAAATAATGTTTATACTTATAACCAAAATAATAATGTAAATAATTTAAAAAAGAGCAAAGTTTGTATTTACACTAATGATTGTAAAAAAATAGAAAATAATAAATTAGAAATAATAGAAATTGAAAAAGGTGTAATATTAATAAAAAATGCGATATGTGATATGGGACTCATATCACAATTGGGGAAATCAACTTAAAACTAGACCAAACATGTATACAACGTGACCATCTAGAGGTGTACCAAACAATAACACCAGCTTCTTCAATAGATATCCCATCCCCGCCAGACACCCAACTACAAACTAAGCATGTAGATCAACCACCAATAAATAATCCTGGCCATCATCAACTTAGCCACAACGTAACCATTCCAGCGCAGCAGATAACACAATCCACTCTGGCAAAAACACATTCCTCACAAATAGAAATCAACCAAGATAAAGTGTTACATCAATTTTTGAAGAAAGATTTACAGGAATTCCAGGCGCTATCAGGATTGTCCAACGTCACGAAACACAAAATTATCATGAAGGACGATCGTCCAATCAAACAGAGGTACTTCCCAAAAAATCCCGCCATGCAGCAAATAATCAATGACAAAGTGGATGAATTATTGGAAAAGGGGTGTATCGAGCCATCGAACAGTCCATATAGTGCCCCTGTAGTGTTGGTTAAAAAGAAAAATGGGGAATGGCGTTTTTGTATAGATTACCGGCAGCTTAATACTAATTCCATTCCGGATGCATATCCATTACCACGTATCCACCATATCCTGGACCGGTTGCGAAACGCTAAATTCATTAGCGATTTAAAAGATGGCTACTGGTAAATACCGATTGAAGAAGAAAGCAAACAATACACTGCATTTACCGTACCAGGTAGAGGGCTATTCCATTGGCATGTGTTACCCTTCGGCCTGCATTCCGCACCCGCCACGTTTCAACGGCCATGTGATCATGTTATAGGCGCAGACTTAGAACCACATGCATTCGCGTACCTAGACGACATTATCGTCACAGGTACAACATTTGAACATCATCTCAAAAATTTACGAGGGGTTTTACGACGTCTAAAATCAGCGATTCTAAAATCCGGATTAATGTTGAAAAATCAGAATTCTTTCAAAACTGAGACTAAATACCTGGGAAATGTCGTAAGTTCACAAGGAATACACACAGATCCTGATAAGGTGGCAGCTATTCAAAATATCCAACCCCCTGCCAATATCAACAACTTAGGTAATTCATCGGAATAGCTTCATGGTACCGACGCTTCGTTCCTGACTTTGCCAAAATCCTCCATCCCCTAACGAGTATGCTAAAAAAGGGTAAGCATTGGAAATGGGGTGAAAGCCAACAACTAGCATTCCGAGAAATTAAAACACGCCTAACGGAAGCACCTATCCTCACATGTCCCGACTTTAACGAGAAGTTTTGCCTCCAGACCGACTCAAGTAACATAGGCTTAGGAGCAGTTTTAACGCAGCAAATTAATGGAATCGAAAGGGTAATTGCGTATGCCAGCAGACACCTTAATGCAACAGAAATTAACTACTCAGCTACAGAAAAGGAATGTCTAGCCATCGTATGGGCTATAAGAAAGATGCGACCCTATCTCGAAGGTTATAGATTCACAATTATAACCGATCACATGGTATTGAAGTAGCTCAACTCCATCGAAAACCCTACCGGTCGAGTGGCCCGTTGGGCACTTGAGCTACAGCAACATAGATTCGATATCCAGTACCGAAAGGGAAAGCTAAACGTTGTAGCCGATGCGCAGTCCAGACAGCCACTAGAAAACTTGGGGAAAATTTCAATAGACCATAACACCTCATGCGCTAGTTGGTATAGGCGAAAATGGGATGCATACTCGATACTAGGAAATACAGTGCGGCATACTTAATACAAGGAAGAGAACCAAGACTATCTGCTTCATTGTTTAATGAATGCACACCCGGTTCGGGTGAAGCTACTTTATCTCCTACAGTCAAAGCCGATAGATTGCAACAAATTTTTAAAATAGTTAGACAAAATATACAATCAGCAGCATCAAAACAAGCACAGTATTATAACTTAAGACGAAGAAGCTGGAAACCTAATATAAACCAATTGGTTTGGGTTAGACAACACCATCTCTCCGACGCAACCAAAAATTTTAAAGCGAAATCAGCACCCAGATTTGATGGTCCTTATAGAGTCAAACACTTTATATCACCAGTCATTGTTAAACTAGCACCATGTAAACCTGGTAAAGATATTACGTCGCATATTGCCAATCTTCGGGTGCATAACGGAGAACAACAATAATAAAAAAAAAATAATAGTAGCAAGCATTGGCGCCGTTAACAAGCCGTCTCCAGTCAGTTGGTGAAGCTAACGAATGAAAATGTACAAGGCCGTAGGGTCTATAATAAGAAGTAATAAACGTAAAAATAAAAAAAAGGAAAAGGGCACACGAATCATCACACTTTTGACTATATATAAGGATCACGAGTGTCCTAAGAAGATAGTATGATCAAGAAAGTCCAAGATGACAGCTAATTTCGAAGCTAAGTTTAAACACACGGCCACACGTGTCCCACAAAGACTGGAAGAACTAGAGGAAAGCAAACCACGCAGCCGTTACCTACCAAATGCTGTGGAACAAATATCCAAACGTTATAAAAATAAAGTACAAGGAAGTCAACCTAGTAAGAAAGTTCGAGCCATAGAAGTCGGCCAAACGCAACCAAACATAAGGCCCACCGACCGGAAATTACCGCCGAAAGCCATTGGGTGGCGAGGTAAAAAAAATCACCGAAACATCAGTGACATACACTCACAGAATGATCAAGTGCATGCTCCAGCAATCCCTACACATGTAAGTGCAGATAACGATGACCACGATGTACTACAATGCACATGGAATGACATTGTTGGTGAACTAAGTCCATCGCCACCACCCCCAGTGGTTGACGAACTATACAATGAGTAAATGAGTAATGCAGTCGAAGCGCAACCTCCGGTGGCAGGTAACGTCAGAGAGATCAAGGACGAATGGCCACCAGAGTTAAACGAAGCTATTCGCGATGCCAATAGAAAACGAGGTGCAGGAAAAAGAATCAGTTTCAAGCGTCTAGTCAAAGGCAAAGTATACCAAGTGCAGATCAACCGGAGAAGCGTAACAAAAGTACGATTAAAGTGAAATATGCCATCAAAATTTCAGTTCACCGAAGGGGGGAGAAAATGTAAAGGTTGAAATTGCTACAAAGTAATTTCAACCATACATATGCTTGTGTAAAAATCTGACGTCAGTCCGTCAGCAGAAAACACAACACCAACCCCATTTCGGACAACACCAGAAGTAAACCCACCCTCAACAAAGTTCTGTGCACAACCTAGAAAGATTAAGAGTTATTCAAATATTATCGAGATCATAATGCAACAACATTACCTGAATTCCATGCGTCAATGAGCCGCGGGCATGACTTGACCTGAAGAAAATAAAAAAGCAATAAAAAAAAACAACAAAACTAAAACACAACTTGAAATATGTTAAGGAATAAAACAAATGAATTTTTATTTACAAATTATAATATAAGACATACATTAAACATTTATTAAACAATAAAACACATTTTATATATTTAATTAATAAACATGAATTTCAAGAAATAAATTACCAACATTGAAAAACACTCATTGTTTACATCTTTTTTACAACATAAAATAAAATAGGAAAAAAAAACAATAAAACATAAAAATATAACACATCGAAAAACCACTTCTGCTGTAAATTCTTTGGTTGGGTTATCTTTCTTTTATATATGAACACTGTATTAATTAAAAATATATTTTTCTATTAACAAACAAAACCGAACTACTGTCCAAGACAATAAATTATAATAATGCACTTGCACTGATTGTACTTAACAGCGTTAAAAATTCTATCACCACAATGTCACTCACTTGTATCTTGGCACATAACTTCTTCAAAAATTAAATAATATAAATTAAAACTTTAATATTATTTTTAACTTTCTGATTTAAATCAGAAAGACGCAGAATATGTCAAATGTAAAAGCGCGGCGAAAACAAAACAGGCATACAACACAAAGTACACAAAAAAATGCACAAAAGCATGCAAAATACACAAAATACACAAGAAAGGCTTGCGAAAAGCACAAAAGTTAACACGAACAGCGAAGTTTACCGGTACGCTACACCGAAAAGCTCCGGTCAAACAAGTATATAAGAGCGCGATTTTCACAGAACTAGCAACTTGTCTCTTGGATATCAAACGATAAACAAGTTCAACTGGTCAATTCGATCAATTTTAGTTTACAGGCTTAATCAGCCTAAACTGGTCAGTTCGATCAAATCAGGATAACCAACTGGTCAATTCGATCAGTATTAGTTTACAGGCTTAACCAGCCTAAACTGGTCACTTCGATCAAATCAGGATAACCAACTGGTCAATTCGATCAATATTAGTTTACAGGCTTAATCAGTCTAAACTGGTCCGATCGATCAAATCAGGATATCCTACTGGTCTATTCGATCATTTGTTTTTATTGATTTTTTTTCCTTTTTACATTTACTTTCTAATCTGGCTCATTCAGCCAAACTATCATATCCCTTAGCACAAGGCAGGAGTCTTCTTAACGGATAAGCCAGAGCCAGTCGCTGAAACATCGTCATCTTTGACAGCAGGTGATCTTGCATATAATTCATATACTGAGGTGACATAAGTTCACCCCTAAGAAATAGTCACGCGAGTTATGTACTATGATATAACTACTTCCGTTCATTTAAAAAAGTCTGTTACCAACAAATATTTGGTGACATACTTTTTATTTAAATTAATCATTTTTAATAAATTGCAAAATAAATTAAATGCATTTATTCTACAATTTATATTTCATAACACTTCCGCTTAAATTGTAATTCGAAACGCCGATATTTAATTTGCTTTCTTATAAGTTTTAAAAATGCAATATTGGCAATCGAAAAAAAGCGGCTAGCATTAAGAATAAGATTTAAAAAGTGTTCAGTAACTTATTATTAGTGAAATAAACAAGTTCGATCAAAAAATTAATTTTGATTTTTATTTAATTTATGTTTTTATAAAAAAACATAATTGGCGCAGTCGACGGAAAAAAATTCAAAAGAATTTTTAAAAGAACTTAAACCAATTAAAAATATAAAATTCATAAGAATTTTTAAAAATAAGTGTATTCAAAAATAAGTATAAGAAAATAAGACTTCAGTGCATAAAGTGGACAATTATTCATTTAAAAGTTAATTTTCAATTTAAATAAACTTAAGCAAATAAATTAAAAGTGACATAAACTTCATGAAAAGAAATTTAATATTTGATAATAATAGAAAAGAATTAAAAATGGAATTTCAAACAAAAATAAATGAACTGGAAGAGGTTATCAGAAGACAAGAACAAATTATTCAAGGACATTTACAACAACAGCAATTACAGCAACAACAACCAATGTACGAAAACTTAATGTTGCTCAGTCCAAAAGACATCATTCAACAATTTCGGGAAATAAAACCATTTGGAAATGGACACAACCTATCTGCTTTCATAAAATCAGCAGAGTTAGTCATGGATCTATGTGGAAACAACAAAACGCTTTACGATTTTGGACTACAAATAATTATAAATGATAAAATAGTTGGAGAAGCAGGAATACATGTACGAGAACTTGAAGACGAAGTTACATGGCAGCAGATAAAGAAAAAATTAAAGGAACGGTTCAGATCTCGAGTATCTTATGGCGATATTTTCAACAGGTGCCGCAGTATTAAAGTAAGTAATTTGCGAGAATTATTTAATTATTTTGAACAATGTAAATACCAAATAAATGAAATATATGAATTTGATGAAGATAGGCCAGATATTTATCAACCAAGAAATGTTGATAGGGATTTAGTCAATATTTTAATTGAAAAAATTGATGGGCCACTCAGGGCTCACCTCGATGAATGGAATTCATTAAATGATATTATAACGAAATATACAAAACTTAGGCTTCTCGATGATAATAGAGCTATACATTTCAAACATAAAAAAAATAGAAATGAAAGAAATGTTGTCGATACTAAACCAAAAACATAGAAATATAAAGACATGTAATTTGCCTCTGTTAAAAAAATCATGAATTCTGAAAAGGTACACGCAATGGGAAAAACATGTCTGTTCAAACGTATAAACAATCGAACTTATTATTTTATGTATGATCAATGCTACTTTGTTAGTGAAGTCAGCAATCAAACCAATAGCGAATATGTTGTATTTTGCTTGGACAAAATCATATAGAAAAAACTCTAATATCAGAGCAAATGCACACATAGCTTCTAGTTCATGCGTATGTAAGTTTCTTGGTAACTTTTTTCTACTCTTCTTTTTATTGCACACTTACTAAATATAAATATGCATGGGTAGGTGAGACAATATTTTTGAATGTGATGCTTGGATTTTGTTTGTGTGCTTTTTTTTTCTTAAAATATATGACTGGCTTCGTGTGCATGAAATGCACAAGTTTTCCAAATTATTTAAAATTTGATTTTTGCTGAAATTTTATACT